CTAGCTTCAGAGCAACTAGATTTGCCATCATCCCAGGGCAGTGCAGGGAGGGAAGGGTGGGAGGTGCAGCTCTGCTGGCACCAGGGCTGCTGGCATGCAGAGTGCTGGTGTGTGAAGGCAGATGCTCAGCCATGGCACTGGTTAGCTTTAGTAGTGCCACTGGGAGGAGGGGTAGGGTGCCTGTTCTCGGCTGGGGGGAGGTTAAAAGGCAGCCCAGCAGGGAGAGCTTAAGGGGGCCCTTAGGACGTTCCTGTGGGGCTGGTGGATCTCTGCTCAGCCAGCTGGCAGTCCCCTGGCCCCTGTCCCACCCACGCTGCTGCATGCTGGGGCAGAGGCTGCGGCACACTAGCCACAGTGGTTGCCTCGGGGAGCCTTGAGCTCAGACACACCCTTCTAATCCCAAAAAGTTTACTGGGGGGTTTGTGGCCTCCTGCCCAGGTGCCCCTGTGGCTGCACACAGCTCAGCTGCTCCCCTCACTGCCTGCTCCAGAGGCAGCCCCAGGCAGGGCACGGGGATGCTGGTGGCCTCTCTGAGGGTAGAAGCAAGTGCCTGCTAGTGGCACTGTGTCCTCGGGAGCTCGGGCTGCTGGTCTGATTGCCCTTGGCTGCCCCACTATAGGAATGTGCCAGAGGTCTGTACCTTCTCGTGATTTATTGCTATGACCGTGCCTTGAATAAAATGACTTCACCCAGCTGTTGCCTGGCGTCGTCACCCCCATGCATCTTTCCTGGCACTGGTTTAGGGGGAACCCTTGCCACTGGAGCTTTTTCCCACCTGTGGGCTGCTTTTGACCTTGCCTGGGGACGTCCTGCAGATGCTTCAATGGCAGAGAGAATGCTTGGACACATCCCCACCTGCAGACTGCCCACTATGATCCCCATAAAAACAAACCCCAACATGTGGGCAGAAGCAGCAAAGTTTCAGGTGTGGAAGAGCACCTCACTCTGTCCCAGATAGAATGGCACAGCCCTTGGCACCATCCTCTTATTGGGGGTGGGCTGCAGTCCTGGGACAGCTGTGTGCCTGTCTTGCCCCCCTTCTGTCAGCGGTCACTCCATTGGCAGAGCTAGCTCAGAACACCACCAAAGGTGCAGATGCTGCTTGAGGGTAACAGGAGGGTGGCCTGGAGCCCCGCTGGGACCACAGCAAGGGTCAAGAGCAGGAGGAACCCATCCCATCTGAGGATGGAGCAGGTGTTCCCAAAGCTGACTACCCACCAGCAAGTTCTGGGGAAGGGGGTGAACACCATATTGGAAGTCCTCTAGATTTTGAGAGAACAGTGTTTTTTTCTGCCCTCCTCCCTCCCAAAACACACACTTTTTACCTGAATTCCTGCTTGAATGATTTGCCTCTGGTTTCAGCAGGTTCCTCCTGCTGGCTCCTTCACAGCTTCCCTGGAGTGAGCCCTGCCACTCTCATTTATGGCACAGGGCAGAAGGCATGGGGAGGGCTTCCCTTTGGGTGAACACCTGGAAAATTTAAAACCCATCGCATGCCCCTGCAGAGACCCCCCACGGTTTGTAAGGGGTGGTAAGCAGAGTTAACACAGGGCTTGGCTGTGCCAGGAGCGGGGCAGGAGCTCTGGCTGGGAGCTGTGATTGTCCCCAGCTGCAGCCTCACACCGGGGAGCCCCTCAGGGGCTAGGGAGGGGTGGCAGCCCCGTCACACTGCTCCTCCACCTGGAACTCGCTCAGGACCCTCTCCCTGACTGCAGCCTGCACTCTCAGAACCCCTGACAGCTGGGGCCCAGCAATGCATGGAGCCTCCCACTGTGCCAGCTGGTGGCAGGCAGTGACGGGAGCATCCCCACTGGGCAGCAGCCACAGCAAAGGGGCAGTTTGTGGGAGCTGTGGCAAACCTCCCTGCTGGCACAGGCAGTCAAAGATGGGAGTGCTGCTGGAGGCTGCCATGCTGGCCCTTCCCTGCAGTGCCAGGTTTGGGCTCCCACCATCAGTCCTGAGGCCAGGAAGAGTGGGAAAACTCATTTTATCAATGACCCAAAGGGGGTATTTCTTTGCATTCAGATCTCTGCTGCTCTCCTTGCCCTTCACAGCCCATCACACATTGCCTTGTGGGACAAGCCCATCCTACATGAGCAGCGTGGCTCTCTCAGGATGTTTTCCCTTCTCTCCTGTGCCAGGGCTGGGACTTCCAGCCTTTGGAAAATGCTATTACAGACCCTGAGCTGGCTTCCCCACTCTAGTCACCGTTCTTCAGCATCAAGTGCCCAACTCTCACAGGGCTGGAAACCCATCATGTCAAAGCTAGAACATGCTAGAAGACAGAACCTCCTGCGTCCTCACCAGCTGCTCTCTGGGCAGGGCTGCTGGAATGACTGCAATCCAGCTGGCAGGATGGATGATGCTCCATGGAGCCAGACAGGGCTTCATTATGCTCTGCTGCTGCAGATGACCAGCAATGGGCGACCAGCTGCAGGTGACCAGCAACAGGTGAGCCTGTGCTATGTCAAAAAAACCCAAAAAACCAAAAAAAAACCAAAAAAAAAAAAAAAAAAAAAAAAAAAAAAAAAAAAAAAAAAAAAAAAAAAAAAAACAAAAAAAAAAAAAAAAAAAAAAAAAAAACCACACCAGCAGCTGAACAGCAGAAAAGGGATTTTTAGGCTGATTTCTTAAAATTCTGATTCCATTAGAGATTATTATACTTGAAGGGTCTGAGGAATCAGTAGCAGGGTGTCTCTGTTAGCCCCTCCACTGCTCACCCACTCATTTACCAGGCACAAAAGCTCCCAACATGTTTTTGATGGTGGATGCCTTCTCATGTCAGTAAAGCCACACTACACAAGTGCTCCCAGTGACCAATATCTCCAAAGCTAGAATCAACAAGAAACCAGCAAACCCCTCTCTGTCATCCTTTTTTTTCTGGTCTGCTTGGTCCTTTTATATCAAAATAAACACAAGGCATCAAAACCAGCAAAGACTCACTGTTGTTTTTTAATAAACAGTACAGCTGGGTATAAGAGGCACACAGACCAGTTCTCTTGGGAGTTACATAAAATGTGGCACAGAAGAGCAGGAGTCAAGGAGCTGGGAAAGCTAGAGGGAGCAGGAATGGTTTGGGCAGTAACACCCATACCCCACCCATCACACAGCTGCCTACTTGTCACATGGAGCCAGGAGATGTCCCATGATGCCGAAGGCTGATGCCCCATAACAGGGTTGCAAAGAGGACATCCCCATTCCCAAACCCTTGTGCCCCATACCATGCCATCAAAGCTAGTGTCTCACCCCAGCCCCAGCTCCTGCAGCCCTCACTGCTGGGTGCAAGAATGGGGAGGACTTCACCTGACCCAGCTGATGGAGAGAGCCATGGGCCAGGATGGACACCAGCACACTGCAGGGCTGCAGATGCAGAACATGGTACCATGGGGAAGACAAGGAACCTGGGGATGTTCACTGCCTGGTTCACAGCACCTATTGCCTTCCCTCCCAAACACAGCTGGAGGGCTTTTTGATGGTAGCCCATGGCTACTATCAGGCCTGGTGGCAGGGCACTAGAGACCCATCTTACAGGCCACCCATCATCCCCAGCATGGCATGGGCCTAGGAGACCCATCACATTGAGCAGTCACATTGAGCAGGCAGCCTTCTCCCACCCCAGAGTGGAGGAGATCTGAGAATAGAAGGAATGTGTCTTCAGAACAGGGCCATCTCAGACCTCAACACTAGGCTCCTCCTGTCCTGAAGAAGAAGCAAAAAAAAAAGGGTGCTGTCTGTAACTGAATAATTGTTCCATGTCCTTCTCTGGGGCTAATGGTGGAAAGAAACATTGTTCTGCTTGTTCCACAGTGACTTCCCCGTAAAGATGAACTCTTCCTCAAAGTGCTCAAGTTCAGCTCCTTCACAGACCCCTCAGGTGCTGCCTCTCAGCAGTTTTCTGGGATTTCTTCTAGCAGATGCTGTCTCCTCATTCCTGTGAGGGTGAAGATCTCTGCAGATGGGCACCGTGAGCAGCTGGGAAGCGCTCCAGATTCTGACAGCATCAGCAGAAGGATTCCAGCTATGCTTCCTCTGGCCAAGAGCCAGAATTTCTGGAAGCTGTTGCTATGACACGATTGTAACCTTCATTTTTAAGACATCTTTTCCTTGGATTTATTTTATTTTCCTTAACACAAAGCAGTAAACAGACATTGCTACTGCTGCTGTTGCTGCTGCATTTCAGATGGCTCTAAGGTTAAACCAGCTGGCCAAATCAGCACAAAGCCTTTCAGTTGGCAGCCCAACCCTGCCAAAAGTAGTTTCACCTTGGGATTAATGTGACACCAGTGCCTGAAACATCCCTAGGAAACCTACTGGGTTGTGGCCAACCTGACACAGGGAAAAGCCAGGGATCCCATCCAGGTCAGAGGCAAGGCAGAAAGAAGCACCAGGATTAACCATATGGTAGTGATATATTGATGAAGGGAGAGGGGGAAACTCTCTGCAAGGTTTGAGGACAGCCACACGGTGTGACCAGCCTCGTTCTCTTGCTGCCTTTTGACCTGGATGGAGCCAAATCTGTCACTACTACAGGTGAACCAGGTACAGCAGCACAGGAGGACTGAGCAGTGTCAGACCTGGCAGGTAAAGCACAGCAAATAGGATTTTGGGCAAATAAGCCCAAGAGGCCTATGCCAGCTGTCGCCTACCTAGGGTGGGTAGCAAGACGAGGGAAGATGAGCAAGCTAAAACCCAGAGTAGGTACCTGGGTGTTGGTGTTCCTGAAGGAACTTGGGGCAGGGTGGCATACCTGTGCTGTGGCACTGCCAGGCTTTGCTGCAGGGACATGCCCTGCCAGCCCTTAGCAAAGGCAGAGACACGCTCGTGTTGAAGCAGGGTGGAACCACGTGAGAGCCCCGCAGCACGTGTGAGTGGCAGAGGCAGCCATGGGCTGGTGCACACACAAAGGCAGAGGTGGGGACAGGCAGCGAGTGTGGCCTGAGACTCGCCGTGCTCAGGACTGCTGCATGGTCAGGGATAGGGATAGGGATGGCTGGCAGGATCTAGTCCCCTTCTGGGAGGGTCTCCCAGCCACGTTGCATGGCTTTCACCACAGCATTGTAGAGTTTGCTCCAAGCTTCCTGCACCTCTGGGCTGAAGGCAGCACCAAGGCATTTCTCCAGCATGTACAGCAAGGACTCGCCAACAGTCTGCAAACCAAACAAGGAGGGGTTAAGCTCAGCACCAGAGGATGACATTCAGTCTCTTATCTCACTTTGCCACCTTTTATGACTTCTCCAGCTGCAGGGCACCTGCTCCTCTTCCACCAACAGTACCAGGCCCCCCCAGTCCCTGGCTTGTCAGAGGGGGCCCCGAACCAGCCCATGTCCTCCTCTTCCCCTGCCCTATGATGGCCTCCCCATGGATGAGCGTGGAGTGGAAGTCAGGGAGCAAGGGCTGACACTGCACCTGTAACACCAGGGGAGAGGTGCATGTCCTGTTTCTGTGGCTCCCAGGTGCAGGTGCCTGGCCCTATCCCGTGGCACAGCTGTGGAGCAGCAGAGCTGAGCAATGCCCTGATGCCAGGAGAGTGGATCAGACTCCATGCTGGATGCTTAGGGCATGTCTCAGTGCCTCTCATGGTTCTCCACAGGGCACTGCTCCTCACAGAGCTGTGAGCAGCCCCAAGCAGGAGCATCCTCCCACTGAGCACAGGGCTGGTGGGCATCATACCCCAAACAAAAGGGACCAAAAGAACAAAAGCTAGCAATAGGAATGAGCCATATGTGAGTTAGAAAGCTTTTCTTCAGCCCACCCTTTCCCACTGCATTTTTGTCCGTGCTTGATAGCAGGAGAGGTGCAATCAAGGGTTTCATATGGAAGATGCTTGGGTGTTACTGGCATGGAGGAAGCAGGGGCTGAGGTGCAGCAACCCCATCCCAGTGCAGACACAGAGAGGTGGATTCTCCCTTTTCCAGGTGTGGTGAGGTTTGCCCAGAGCATTAGATGCAAAGGATCCAGGGCAAAGGCTGAGCCTGCAGCCCTGTGGCACAGGAGAGACTGCAGTGTCCTAAGCCATGGTCCTCTTCAAACAGTGGAAATGCTTTGCTCCCATCTATCCTTTCTGCCTGGGCTTACTGGGCAGGGGCAAAAAAAAAGGGGAGCTCAAACGTTTCCCTCACTGGGCAATGTCACTACACTGGTATCAGCACCTTGGACAGGCTGCCTGAGCCATCACCTCTCTCCAGACAGCTGAACCCAGAGGAAGGATGGGGACAGCTGAGGGTTGCAGGCAGGGGTGAACAAACACAAGAGAGAACCTCACCGAGAAAGACTCAACCTTCACACCAACTGCCTGGTGCTTCTTGCCAAGGTTGCAGAGATACTCTTCCAGGCAGGACAAGTTCTCCAGGTGGCTCACAGCAGCATCAATCACCAGCATCACCTAGCACAGGAGCAGAAAGGCAGAATGGCGTTAACAGAAAGGTTCAGCTTCCCTCCCAGAGGAAACAAAGTGTCTGATCCTTTACTTCACCCTTGTCAGCCTGACCCCCTCCCAGCCCAGATGCCCTCTGAGCTTTTCTTTGCTCTGCTGTGATCCATGTGCCACATCAGTGAGGCTGGCAGCAGCACACACCACATCCTTCCATGGGACACTAGCAGAGCTGCACAGCAAGCAGCACTGCTGACCACCCTGTCCCAGAGGGGACAAACAGCCATGCAGCAGAGCAGTTGCAGGTTATGACCTAATGCTGATGCTGTCATTACAACTCCTAGGACCCCAGGACAGCTGCATGGGAACCCCAGAAGTTGCCAGGACTAGAGTTTCCCATTAGAAATTGCCAAAATGGTGCGATTGTGAATAAGGCCACCCCAATTCTAAGATCAGCCAAGGCATTTTGAAGAGATGGGATAGAGAGTACAGCCAGGTCTGTTGACCTGGTCTGGCAGAACACATACCATAGCCTCCCAGGAGCATTAAGAGTCAAATGGAAACAGGACAGAAAAGATTTAATGAAGGATGAAGGGAACAGACACAACGAATTAGAAGAAGAGATTAAAGCCAGGGCATGGTTATCTTGGCAAAGCCAAGAGGTGATAGAATTGTGCACTGTAATTTCAACAGGCCATTTATCTCCAACAAGAGCAAAAAACTATTTCAGCTCAAGGCAATAATCTTAACTTTGCCAATAAAGAGAGGCTGGAAAATAACAAAAAGCTCGCAGCTATCAGAGGAGCTCAGTCCTGAAACAGCCTCTTAACAAGGAATAAAGGCAGGCAAGGAAAGCACCAAGCTGGTTTAAAGATGGAGCCAGGCAGTTTATGAAGGCATCTGCAAGCCAAGGCTGTGCTTTGTCCTGGTGTGGCTTCTCTTCAGGGCTCAGCAAAGGGTCTCTGCTGCACCAGGAGTACTGTGCCTGCAAGAGCCTCTCCTCAGCATTGCTCCTTTCTGTGTTTGGGTGGAGGGGAACTGCAGCAGTCCCTCGGAGGCTCTCTGAGAGGTGCTTGTGGGCCTGCTGGCTCTGCAGCTGCACCAACAACCTCTCCACAGCAGCAGGTCCAGGGTAGCCTGGCCCACAGCCCAGCTCTGTGCCACCTCCTGGCCAGCGTGTGGCAAGCAGAGAGCTTCAGTCCTCACCTGGATGCAGGTGAGCTCCCTGAGGCACCTCCACTGTAGGAGAAGGATTCTTTCAGCTTTCACAGGAAGCAATCCACTCTGAGATGAGGGCATAGAAATCAGCATGGTGCCTCTTAGCCACCATAGCCTGCATTCTCATTCCCTCCCCACTGCTGTAGGACACTTTGTCCTGGCCTTTTGCTAGCACGAGTAACCCCCTGCAGTTACCAGCTCAGGAGGAGACTTCCCATGTGCTCCCTGGTCAGACACACCACAGTCCCAAATCGTTGCCTAAGAGTTTCGTTCTCCATGGAGGCTGTGCTCCAGCCATGCCACAGCCTCTCTCTCACCTTCCTGATGTGATCCAGGAACTCAGGGGCAGACAGGCATTCCTGAGGGCTGGCAAACTGCTTGCAGTTGTACTGGAAAAGGGGCAGCAGGTCAGGATCCAAGTCAAACAGCCTGCAAGAGCAAGAAAGAACACCCCATCTTCTTACTTCCTCAGCTTTATTTAAAGTCCCACTCACCCCATCAGCAGCACACCCACAGCCTACTTCTGCCTCTCTTCCCACCTACTGATCTCTCTCCATCTGTAAAAGATCCAAAAGTTCTGAAAAGTTTTAGTTTGGGGCAATCCAGATTGCCTATAGACAAAACCTTTCTGTTTCTCTAGTCTATAACCCCAGCTCTCAGATACATATTTATGGCACCTGAGAACTGGCATCCAACCCTCTGGAGTTTCTTCCAGCCTGGCCCTTCTCCTCAAAGAGTTGGCTGTTATCTCAACTATTCCCATTCTCACTTTTTGATCCCCTTGAACCCAAAAGCTCCCAAACCAGGGAAGGTCCCCAAGCTCCAGCAGCCATCTGGACCAAGGGGGGAATGTACAAACTCAGCTGATGCCCCACTCCCCGACACCAGCTCCCATTTCCTCTCCCCCTGCCCCATCCTCCCTTGCCAGTGTATGTCAGGCACAAATGGGACTCAATAGCAGCCACCCAGGCAGATAGAACAGGCCACCTGTGATTCAGGCAAGACAGTCTCTTCTCCTCACACTGCACATTAAACTACTGCACCCCTCTCTCTCCCCCACGCTGCTGTCACTCGTCTAGTCCTGCCCTGGGAGATTTGGATCCCTCTCGCTCTAAAAGCTGCTTATCAACTCTCCAAATGTCCTTTTTAAACGACTTTTCATTGATTTTTCCTTTTTTCTCTTCACATAATTGGCACATAATCTGCTGAGGAGAGGCAAGAAGCTGGGTATCAGCCATTCCATCTGGCACACCATTTCCCCTGCCCTGCGACTGACTCCCTCCCTGGCGGCCAGGTCTGCTCCTGGGGCTGCACAGCACTTCCCCGACCAGGGAATGACAGGGCGGCCCCTTCGGAGAGCAGAAGTCGAGGTGGCAAGGCGGGGATCGGCGGGCAGAAACGCACAAAACCCGCCCGCATCTTCCCTCTCGCTCTCCGTCTCCGCGCGGCAAAGTTCTCACCGGCGAAGGACGGCAAAGGCAGGGCAGCGGCGCGGAGCGGGGCCCGCCGCCGCCCCACGGCACCTGCGGCTGGGCGGCGGAGCGGCTCCGGCCGCCCCGGACCGCCAGCCGCGGGAGGGGAGAGAGGCCGGGGAGGGAGCCGGCCGGGAGCCGTGCCAAGCACGGGGCAGCGTTTCTGTCCAAGAAGCGGAGCCCGTCCGTCCCTCCCGCACGGGTCGGCGCGGGCGGGCGGCGCCGGGGTGCGGTGGCCGCATCGCGCCGCTCACCTGGTGAAGAGGACGAGGCCGTGCTGCACGGGGCTGCCGCTCACCCGCTGCCAGCTCTCCCGGATCAGCGCCCGCTGCCCGCCCGACAGCGGCGTCCCGCTCGCCATGGCGGGCCGGGGGCCCTGCCCCTCGCCGCCCGAGGCAGGCGCTGGCTCCGCGGCTCGGCGGGGGCGGCCGCAGCCGCGCTCCGCCCGCCGGCACCGCGGCCACGCCGCTCCACCCGCGGCCCCGGCCGGGGAAGGAAGAGCTCGCCGAGTGTTTCTCACTCGGGAGAAGGAAGGAAGGAGGGATGGAAGGAAGGAAGAAAAAAGAAATTCGAAATGCCCAAACTTCCCTATCCCGGGCCCGCGGGGCAGAGCAGAAAGTTCAGATGGTTCACGGTTGACATTTTCTGTCGTCTTGATTTTACAAGTGAAGCAATAGTGAGTCGTGACAGCGAGGAGACCACCGGGACCTGACCACCTTCGCTCCCATCTGCACAGCTCCCTCTGAGCGTAACTTTGCTTGGGAGGGCCTCGGCGATGCTCCACAGCATCCTCTTGCTCTTGGTCACTTTACTGAGACCCTGGATGGCACACAGCCACCTGCTATCTCCACAGGCAGATGAAGTCTAGACACTGCAAAGTACGTGTCTAATTTAAGGCTAATTATGCCAGCCGAAGCAGGCAAAGTTGTTAATAACAGATGAGAATACATGACATCTTTGTCAAATGTGTTCAGGATGCACAGACTCTCTTTGCTGTTCAGACACTGCTTAATTTGGCTGCAGGATTTACATAGAACAGAGGAAACAAAGCAAGAAATGGCAAATGAGGTCCCAAGCAGCACAAGGGAAGTCAGGAAAGTTAAGGTTTTCAGAAGGATGAGAGCAATACAAAAGTGCAGCTATTACTGAAACCATCACAATCTACACCAAAATGACAATTGTGCTGATCTTATTACATGTTCTGCTTCTGTACATCAGACTTATTGCTGGTAATCAGGAGAAAAGACAGAAGCCTCCAACCCATCCTAGGGGCACATTGACTAAGTGTAGGCAGAAAGGAGGCTCTTCTTTTGGGAGAATTGAGAACATTCCCTGGGAGGAGACAAGTTCAAAGGCTCAATGTTATGTTCTCAGCCCTAGCTTGTCTCCCAGGGGCCTTTCTCCTATAGAGCTGGAGTGACAGCTCTGACTGCAGTGGCAGCAGGAAGCCACCTGATATGGCTCTGCAAGTGCCAGAATAAATTACCTGTTTTCTTAGGATTTTGAGATCTCACGTTCTCAGCACAGACCAGAAAAGAAGCTGCACAGGAAAAGCTCCACATGCATTAAAGGAAGCTGAAAAACCCTCTCCTAAAGTCAGGCACTCGAGTCAGAACTGATGGGACTGAGGAGTCAGCTAAAACAGCATCCTGACTGTGTGGTTTCAAAGGGCATATTCACACCGGGGGCTGATAATAAATCATGCCATGATAACTGCTGAAGCAGCAAGGAGACCAGAAAGGGCAGCTGGGAGACACAGGGTTAATCCGAGCAGGCAGAGGAGACCAGAAAGGGCAGCTGGGAGACACAGGGTTAATCCGAGCAGGCAGAGGAGACCAGCCCGGCAGCGACACCGCAAACATTACCCTTTAGCCATCCTGCGGCTGCAGGAGCGGCTGCAGGAGCGAACCAGCAAGGAGCAGGAAGTGTCATCCTTGGTCACCTGTGCAAGGCACTCTGACATTTCAGCCAGTTGTCACAGGCACCCAGACGTGGAGCTTCACCAGAGCCTGGCTGGAGGTTCAGCCTGGCCTGCTAACAATAAAGGGCAGAACAGCAGGCAGTGGTGTGGTCCCAGGGTACTGGAAAGGAGCATGGAGAGTCATCCCAGGCCACAGGATACTGAGGAGTAGAGTTGAAGCACATAGGTGCAGTCAAAGTAGCAACCAAGGCTGATTATTTCCCTAAAAACATTTTGAATATATTCAGAGCTGGCTGATAGTGAAGGAAGACAAACTCCACAAAAGCAAGTTGTAGTTAAGAGTGATCAGTTCCTGAAGATTTGTTGGGATGTGGGACACCTTTGCTCCCACCCACACAGGGCACCATATCAGCTACCCTATCCCAGGGCAACAACAAAGTACAGGTTCAGCCATTGCTCTTGATAGAAAGGGTGTCTCAGACAATAGCAGTGAAGCTGTGATGACAAAAGAAAATGGTGGCTCTTGTCCAAAATGATGTCCCTGCACCTTCCCTCTGTGCTGCAGGTAGCAGCTGAACACTCACAGACAAGGCACAAGTGTCAGAACAGATCAGACATAAGGGCAGCAATGAGAGGGCTGAGACTGATATGCATTCCTTCCATGGAAAATAGGGGTGCCTCAGCTGATGAAAGGGGCAATGGTCTGGCCATATCCCCACCCACCTTTTGGTACCCATACCCCACACAGGTATGACACACAGTAGAGTCCAAGAACTCTTCCCTGACCACCAGCAACAGCTGGAGCAACAGCTCCTTCTGGGCAGGATACATTCAGGAGCAGTTTCCCCATCTTCCCTGACTGTCTGAACAGTGAACACATCCCTTTACTGCCTTCTGGCACTGATACATCTCCACTCTCTCAAAAAACCCAGCATTTTTCCCCTGTGACAGCATAGGTCTTCCAGCACAGAAAGAAGGAGCTGCAAGGAGGGACTTGAGGTGGGAGACAGGGAGAGCTCAGGGATAAGAAATATTCACACAATTTAAAAGACCAAGGGTTTGGGAGAGACAGTGCTTTGCCTGTGTGCAAAGCAGCTACTCCCTTGCAGCTATGTGGCTGTCAGAGTTCCTCCTGCTATCACAGCACCGAGGTGCTGAGAGCACAAGTGGAGTCTAGAGAGGATTTAAAGTACAAGGAAGCAAACAAAAAAACATCTCTTCTTGTTCTAAATTTTTTTTTTTTTTTTTTTTTTTTTTTTTTTTTTTTTTTTTTTTTTTTTTTTGTGAGCCTTTAAGCATGAGAATCTCAGCAAGAGGTTAAGCACTGCAGTGCTCTGAGGCCTGAGGGTTTCTTGCTGGATTCCTGCAAGGCTGTCCCTGGAGCTCTCATGAGTGAAGAACAACCAGGCCAGCAGCACAGACTGCTCCATCTGTAGAGCACTTGAAGAAAGAGGAGGGAGGCTTTTGGAGAAATTCACTGACATGCAAAGAGGATGATTGTTGTAGTGTGCTTTTATACTTTGTAATACTTTGTAATAGTTTTGATTTTGTATCCCCTTATTTTCCCCAGATGATGTACCCGTTTTTGTATCCCCTTCCTCTACCTGTGTAACCATTCTCCTGTGTTGAGATCATCCCCCAAATCCTCGCCCTGGCTCTGTGTCAGTCACTCAGCATCCCATCCCCTCTATCTAGATCTTTGGTCAAAGCCGTCGAGTGATTAGCCCGAAGCCAGGGGTCAGCCCCCCAAGGATGATGTTATACACTATCCCAAATGTCCATCCCTAAGGGTACATCCCTATTGGTCAGCAAATGTATCTACCCTCGGTTACCTCCCGCCCTTTAAATGTAACCTTGAGATTCCTTTGTCTGACTGAGCACGGCGCACCCCTGAGGAGTGGGGCTCCCTGGGGAGCTCCGAATAAACCTTGGACTGGCCCCCTGTTCAGAGTCGGCCTTTTACCCTCCACCGATGTCTCCAACGTCTCTTCTGCTGCAAAGGTGACTAGCCTAGCTGCCCTCAGTCCCCTCGGGGCACCAGAGAGTGTCCCCCCGCTGTCGGCCACTTCGGGGCTGCCCCCCCGCTGTTTGCCGACCCGGGGCTGGCCGGGGTTCACTGGGAGGCACCCAGAGAGATGGAGACAGAGTCTCCTCTGTAATTTCCCCCCTGGACTTCTTGTTTCAGAAGCACTGCTGGTCTCTCAAGCGGTCATTGATCATCTTCTCTCTGGTCTCAACTGTCTTTGTTCTCTCCCTCCTTGCAATTTTAATTCACACTATTGATTAGGTCATCTCTTATAAACGTTTGACCTACAGCTGTTGTCTCCAGGAATAGCATTTTTATAAGACCTATTAAAACAAAAATTTTGTATTTTACTGCACCCATTCCTTCATGTCAGGGCTGTGCCAGCATCCCCACATTTCAGCTTTGCACTCAGCCATCTGGTCTCAAAGCAAATCCCGTGTATTATTCCTTCTATGTATGGGACACTTCTGGCTTGAGACCTTCTTCTCCTCACCTCAGCCATTACAGCTTTGGGGCTTTGTCAAAAAGCATTGGAACAGCCTGCCCACCCTCTGAGTAAAGAATTTTTTCCCTCATATTCAATCTAAACCTGGCCTGGTACAATTGAGGCCATTTTCTCTCATCCTGTCACTTGTGACTTGGGAGAAGAGACTGATCCCTACCTTGCTACAGCCTCCTTTCAGGTACTTGCAGGGAGAGATAAGGTCCCCCCTGAGCTGCTTCTTCTCCAGGCTAAACATCCCCAGCTCCTTCAGCTGCTTCTCATCAGAGTTGTGCTCCAGATCCTTTACCAGCTCTGTTGCCCCTCTCCGGACACGCTCCAGTACCTCAATGTCTTTCTTGCAGTGAGGGATCCCAAAAGTGAACACAGGATTTCAGGGGTGAGTGCTGAGAAGGGGAAAATCATTGCCTTGGTCCTGCTTGGCCACACTGTTTCTGATGCATGTCAAAAATGTACCATCTTAATGCATGTTCACTTTCTCATCTGATTCCCCCGCTCCTCAGCTGCTTTCTTTCTCCACCTTGTCATGGAAGAGTTATTGTCCCTAAAGCACTGCAAGGCACAAGCACACTGCCAGGGTGTGATCCAACACAGCTGCTTTCATAAGGACACATAATCTAAACTCCCATTCTGGTCAATGGACAAACCCCGGTATTAAGAACAACCTCATCCTAAAATACATGGTGAAAAAAATAGGTCAGGTGAATGAAGCCTTAAGACTACCTTTTGTCAGCTGCCTGACAACAAGATGACAGGCTTTGGATGCAACACAGAGATAAAGCAATGACTGCAAGAAGGATAAAAATGGAAAAGCAATTTACAGCAATTATAATGCTTGTCAGACTTACACCCATTCTATAAAGCACAAACTTTCTACTTCCAGAGCATGCATTACATGGCCCAGAGCACAGT